CTGGGATCCAGATTAATTTTTTTCCTATATAAATATGCAGTTGATCCAGTATCCTGTATTGAAAAGACAGTCCTTTCCCTAATACACTTCAGGGTTATGTTTGTCATAAATCAGGTGACTGTAAATGTTAGTATATTCTTATAATCTTACCTGTTCTATTTAACCTTGTTAGTAGGCCTTGATATCTAGTAATGTAAATATTCCAGGTTTGTTGTTACTCAAGATTGTCTTGGCTCTTCTTGGCCTTTTGTATTTCATATAAAGTTTAGAATCAGCTTTTCAATTTGTACCCCAAACCATTCGGGAGTTTTATTAGTGTTATGTTTTATACATCTTTGTCAGATTTATTACTAGATATGTGATGTATTTTGATGCTATTGTAAATTGTATCTGTAACACCAAAACTGCAGTTACATGTTCAGATTGTCAGTCTGACCCAGGAATCCTTCAGATATTTGAAGATAGCAGTCATTCCATTCCTTATATGTTGTGTTTTGTTTATTTAGTATATTATGCCTTTCTATGAGTCTCTACTCTGAATGCTTTAGTATTTCTGTTTTTTTAGGGTGCCACAAATAGATAAGCATCCCAAGGAGAAGCTGAATTAAAGCAGAGAAAAGTAGGATGACTACTATCTAGCTGTTTCCATTTTTACCTCTGAATACTACTTTGAAGTGTAGTATGTTGAGATTTTCCTCCCAGAATAGCCTACTGTCATCTTTCTGTCTTTGAAACTTTCTGTCAGGCTTGTCCTTACTCTCTGTAACAAGCCTATATTTGTGGTCTGAAATTCCTCATTCTAATTTGTAAAACTTGTACATTGTCCTTAAATTAGTTTCATATAGTTTGTAAGACCCTCTTCCGCTCCCTGCCTCCAGGTAATTTGAAATGTATTACTGACTTCTATACTATTGACATTTCAGCTAAATTTAATACTATCTGTACATTTGGATATGCTTCCATTGCTTTATCTTAGTCATCATTAAAGATTTTCATTAGTTTGAATCTCAGGGCACTCCTGAATGGTAAAATATTCAACATCTCCTACAGGTTTACTTAAAACTATTGATAACTGCTGTTTGGATATATAACTCTCGATCTGTCTGGCTCCCCACCTTACATTTTCATACTCCACCTAGGCAAATTACTTTATTCTTTGTACCATTTGGAATTCATTTAGTACATTCTGAATAAAATACTCGTTGATATAATTTTTAAAACCTTGTAATTAATAAGCACCCTCTGTGGGAACATTGTGCTAGTACACCTAGTGAGAGGAACATTGGCTATAAGGACAAACAGACCTGGAATAAAAATCTTGCCGCCACCATTTGCTTATTGTGAGAACATAGAATTGTATATCTGTAAATTGTATAATTTCTTAACCTGCTTTTACTGTTTATTTTTAATAGGGACAATAATACTTCACAAGATTGGTTGTGAGAAGCAAGTAAGATAGCACATGTAAAATATTAAGTTCAGTGCCTGATACTTAATAGACTCAGCATATTTTTGTTCCTCTCTCTCCTTTCAGGGTCTAGCTCAAATCTTATTACATCTACGACACTATTCCTAACGATCTTACTCCCTCTCCTAAATCGTTTCTGTATTAATTTTTATTTTATCAAAGCAATATATTTAAAAAATAGATTAAAAATCTAGATAATGCTAAATAACTTTAGCAAAAGCAGAAGGCAGTGCTCTTTCCCAACCCTTCTTTGCTTCCCACTGTCCAGTTCTACTGCCTAGAAGCAAAATTAAAAGCAAAACCCCAACTTTATTGAGGTATACTTGAGATATAATTGAGATACAAAACAGACTGCACATATTTAAAGTGTACAAATTAAAATTTGACATTGGCTTATACCTGTGAAACCATCACAAACAACATAGTAACATATCCTTCACCTTCAAGTTTTATTTAAGCCCTCCTTCTGCATTGAACTGTTCTACCATTTCTCCCCCAGCAACCACTGATCTGCTTTCTGTCTCTGTAGATTAGTTTGCATTTTCTAGCCTTTCATATGATCTGTTTTAGTCCTTGTCTGCTAATTCTAACATCTGTTCTGGGTTGGTTCCAATTGATTATTTTCCTCATGGATTGTGTTTCTTGCTTTTTTTGTATGCCTGGTAATCTTTGATTGAATACCAGACAGCATGCTTTTTTAAACTTTGTTAGGTGCTGAATAATTTTTGTATTACTATAGTCTTGAATTTTTGTTCTGGATTTCAGTGAAGCTACTTGGAAACAGTTTGATCCTTTTGGATTTTGTTTTTGTGATTTGTTAGGTACATCTGGAACAGGGTTCAGTCTAGTACTAGCTATTCCGTATTACTGAGGCCAGGCCTTCTTTATTTCTTTATCCAATGCCCAGTGAGATGCAAATTTTACTATATCGGCTTGTGGAAATAGGCACTGTTTCTGGCCATGTGTGTACTGGCTATGTGTGAACACCTGGTACTGTTCCCTCTAATATTTTCACCATGATTCTTTCCTGGCTTCGACTGGTTTGCTCATACACATCTGCTAATCAGTCTTCCGCTGAATGGTTAGGGGGCCCTTTATAGATTTCCTGAGTTCTTTGTCTCTGAAGTTGTCTCTCATATACTGTCTCCTGTGAAATCTAGTCACCTTGGTCTTCCTGAACTCCCTGTTTTGTTTCCTCATCAGGGAGCCTGCCAAGTTGTTTCATATATTTTATCTCCCCTCCCCTTCCCTCGTCTCCTGTCTTCTGCTTATTTCAGGTAAGAGGATAAATCTGGTTCTTGTTTCTTCATCTTGTGTGGAAACAGAAGTCTGACAATAACTTTGTTAACATTTATTTTATTTATTTATTTATTTATTTATTTAGAGATGGGTCTCACTGTGTTGCCCAGGTTGCTCTAGAACTCCTGGGCTCAAGCGATCCTCCCACCTTGATCTCCCAAAGTGCTAAGATTACAAGTGTGAGCCACTGCCCTGGCCAGCTATTTTTTTTTTTTTAATTAATTTGGCTCAACATTTCTAAATAACTTGCTTATAGTCCTATTTTCTGGATCTGTAAATTTAAGATATTGTCTATTGTCTTCTAGTTTTGGTGGTTGGGGATTTCACTTTTTTATACCATCCCTGCTCTCCCCACTATATTTTCTCAATAAAGTCAGAGCATAATTTTTTACTAAATAAGTAGTTAGGATGTAACATCAATAATATCAATATGGCTATGTAAATAATGTGCACTGCTAAGCCAGATAGTGTATTCTATGGTAACATTTCTTTCTGTGTAGACTACTAAAAATGCAAAAATTAGCTGGGCATGATGGCATGCACCTGTGTTCCCAGCTACTCAGTAGGCTGAGACACGAGAATCTCTCGAACCCAGGAGGTGGAGGTTGCAGTGAGCTGAGATCACACCACTGCACTCCAGCCTGGGCAACAGAGGAAGGCAACAGAGGAAAGCTCTGTCAAAAAAAAAAAAAAACACCAAAAATTTGTCCGCAGCAAGTACATAGGGTTAATATTAATTATCCCTTCTTATAGAAAAAGGAAAGACCAATGGAAAAACTGGCAAAGGGCATGAAATACATTTCATAGGAAAATAAATACAAAAGAACATAAAATTATACCCATCCTTATTCATTGTAAAAGAAAGAACGATGGGTCCACGTTTTCTTTTACTACTTTTTGGGCCAATAAATGTGTTTATTTCTTGACTTGGCAGTTTCATTTTTGTGTATCTGTTTTACAGATATACCTGCACTTGTAAATATATATGGTTATTCATTGCAATATTACCTGCACTTGTAAATATATACGGTTATTCTTTGCAATATTGCATGTAATAGTAAGAATGGGAAATAACCCGAATTTTTACAGTCATGGAGGACTGGTTGAATGAGTTATAGTACAATTTTTCCAACACTTCTGTCAAATGCCCACTGGCATTTTTTCCCCAAATTTTTTAACTTATCAAATTGTCTATCCTTTTCTTCCTTTTCTTCTTGGAAATTTCTTTCCTGCAGTTCTTGGTTCTCCTGCCACAGTTTGGACGGACTGTGTGGTCTCTGGTCCTTTTGCAGTCTTGAGCCTTTTCTTTACTTCTCTCTTGCGTTGCAGCCCATGTTTCTTAGCTCTAGTGTCATCCTTTCTCATGGTCAGTTTCCTTGTTTGCACTCACTACATTCTCCAGTTGATTCCAGAGAAAAGATATGTTGTAAGTGTATTTTTTTTAATCCTTGACTGAAAATGTTTTCTTCTGCCCTCTCAGTTAATTGATTATTTGTCTTGACATTAGCACCTCTGCTGAAAATCATTCTTTTGAAATTTGGAAAATATTGTGCCACTTTATTCTTCCCATAATCAAATTCATAAAATATTGTTTAGTCATTTCTTTCTCCATTTTATCTACTTATATCTTCTCCTGGGGTTTTTACTATTCCTTTGCTATTCATGTTTGCACTTTGTTTTTGTGAAGACAGGAGCAAAGATCAAATTAAGATTCATTAATTAAGCCTTCTATGTTTTGCTAGAAACAGAAACTAGAAATTGAAACATTACTAGAAAAATGAAATGTTAAAGAGACATACAAAATGTAAACTGCAATTTGTTGTTTTTTTATTCCAAGTAACAAAATTAAGCCAATCCTGTATTCATCTTGTCATACTGCATCCATGGACCACAATTTCAGTGCATCAGTATAGGCTGCCTTCCCCAACTCATTTTTTGCTATATCTCTGAGGTTCTTCCTGAGATCCTTTCCTTGCTTGCCTTTAGAAATTAGAATTTCCTTTAGTGGGTTTGCTGGTGGAAAATTTTTAGTTTCATTTGTCTTTATTTTATTTGGATTATTGTGAGAAATTTTTGGTGAGTACGGAATTTTTTTTCCAGCAACTTGAAAATATCTTCCCAATGTCTTTCTGAGAAGTTACTTGTTTAATTGTTGTTAAAGGCTACATGAATGTATCTTTATTTAAAGTGTTATTGATTAACCTAAATGTCTTCTTGTGTTTTTCTCTTAAAGGGAATACAGTGAGTAACCTGATCATGATTATACCTCCAGTGTTCGGTGCAATTCAGAGTATTAGAGACGGTCTGGAAAAACGGTACATTGCTTCTTATTTAGCACTCACAGGTAAGTATAACACTATTCAAATGGGCCAGTTTTCTCATTCATTTCTAAAAGCAGTTTTCAATTTTGTGTTGTTACATAACTTGAATATATTCTGAAACTTCTTAGTTAAAACTCCAGAAACTTTGCCGGTGATTGAACTACATTTTGATTAAAATGTTTTAGAAATTACAAAATATTTTAAGCATATAAAAAAGAGTACAGATAATATAACAAATATACCCACATTTCTTACTACCCAGTTTTGTCAGGTCCTAACAATTTATAATATTTGTTTCAGACCTTTTTCTTTTTTAAGGAAATTACTACAGATAAAATTGAAACTCCTTTGTATTCCTCCCTGATTATATGCCCCTCAGCCTCCCAGCCCATCCCCTAAGAGCGAACCTCAATCTTGAATTTGATGCTTATCATTTTCTCATGTTTTCATGTTTATACTATGTATGTATATATCCTTAAAAGTATACATAGTATGGTTTTGCATAGTTTTCAACTTTTTGGAAAGGATACCATCCAACCCTTTGTGACTTACGTATATTCTACTTGTCTGTGAGGTGGTGGACTATGTCTTAATCATCTCTGTGTCCCCATTGTCTGGCAGTTTAGTGTTCCTCAATAAGTACTGGGTGGATGGGTAAACCACCTATACCAGGGTGTAACATAGTGAAATCACTTCTGTCTTCTGTCATGTTCTTGCATCATCATAATAAATAAAAAATGTCAAATAAAGTGGATTCTTTCTAGTAGTTTTGTTTTTTAATTTTCTTTTCTGTTTTTTTTTTTGTGTGTGTGTGTGTGTGCAGTGGTACAGTCTCGGCTCACTGCAGCCTCAACCTCCCAGGTATAAGCGATCCTCCTACCTCAGCCTCCCAAGTAGCTGGGACCACAGGCGTATGCCACCATGCCTGGCTAATTTTTGTATTTTTTTGTAGAGACAGGATTTTGCCATGTTGCCCAGGCTAATCTCAAACTCCTGAGATCAAGCAACCCTCCTGCCCTGGCCTCCCAGAGTGCTGGGATTATAGGTGTGTGTGCTACTGTGCCTGGCCCTATTTCTTTCTTATAACTCTCTAAAGGCTCTTTCTTTTTTTTTTTTTTTTTAAGCTCATGGTGAGTATTTCCACATTACAGAAAGGACTTCTAATTATCCCAAAACTGTAAGCTATAGTGAATCATGTCAGATTCTACCTTAGATTATTTATTAGATATGAGAGACTTTAATTTCAGAATCTGTTGCTCATATGTATTTTAAGAAAGTTACTTGATTTATCTTCAAAAGGAAGACTTGTCTACAAACTTATCCCTTTGCTTTTTTTCTGGGGTGTTTTCATAATGTTCATAAAACATGGACAAATCACACTCTGTAACAACAATAAGAATTAAAAGACCTGAGGGACTTCCAATTGCCCTAGGATAATGGTAGCCTCCTAAGTTAGAGTTTGTCCACTTATTCTCCCAGAAAAACATACAGATTAATAAGGAAAACAAATGAAACTACATGCAGCCCACACTTTCAGCCTTACTAGGAGAAAGAATATTATGAACTTCAATTTATTTTAAGATAAGAAATAAACACCAAATTCCAACAGAACTGTTTTCAGTGTTTCAGACTTGGAGATGTTTGAAAAACTATATGGAAAAGAGAAGAGAGGACTCAAGGGCCTAATTCTGACAAAATTAGCAATAGAAAGATAAAACTTCACAATAAAGGCAGAATCTATGAAAGCAGTCTAAGATCTGTTAGGTCACAGTACTGTCTAAAGGTAAAAGACTTGAAAGTGTGTCAGACCTAAGGTGGCAGTTTTGGAAAGGCATCACTTCTGGGAAAGAGATGAGTAGAAAGGGGGAAGTGCTCTTTGGAGATGTGTTAGTGAAAGGAAAGAAGAAAGTTGGGGGGAATTAAGATCCTACTGAAACAAAGAGTTACAAAACACATCAACCTCTTCTCCCTTCACTGCTCCCCCAAATATTACATGTTTTGTGTGTATATATATATATATATATATATATATATATGAAACCTCACTATTCTGACCGAAGTGGCCAGTCTTGAGTTAGGAATCTTGTAAGCCACTTAAAATCTTTACTCTCTCTATAAAATAGACCCCCCAAAATGCAGCCTATTTCCATACAAAATTAGGGTAAAAAGAAAACAGAAAATGAGAATCAAAACCATTTGGCTGATAGAATTTCTTCCCCACAACAAACTATGAAACAGAAGGAAGATGTAATACAATACTCCTAACTGAATTAAATAGCCTCAAACAACGAAATGAATCAAAAATTTAAAAACTAATAACAGAAATCACTCCATTCCTCCCCTCAAAAAAGACGAAACAAAATTAGAATTCATTGAACTTAATAAAGAAATTAAGAGTAAATTACAGAGTGCTTGAGGGAAAGTAGAGTCTACTGAATATTTAATAAGGACTGTTGTAGAAAGTCAGAGAAATAAGCAAGAAAGTCAAAAGGAGATAAAGAAATAAAAAAGGTCAGAGAGAAAATGATTGAAATGGAAGACAGGCAAAAAAGATCCAATGTGCATATAATTGAAGTCCCTAGGTAACATGGAGGGGAACCAATGAAACATAATTATGTTTAAAATTATCATTCAAGACAACTTTCTGGAAATGAAAAAAGACTTTAATATGTATATTGAAAGGTCCAATTTTGCCTGGTAAACTGACTTAGAAAGATCAATTTTGAGATAGAGCCTAGTAAAACTATTGGATTGTAAAAATGAACTTATTCTCAAAACTCTTGAAAATAAGCCTTGATTACTTACAAAGGACCAAAAATTAAACTGGCATCAGACGTTATCAGTAATATACAAAGAAAATACCAGTGGAGCAGCATTTTCTAAAAAGTGAAGAGGAAGTATAAGCCAAGGATTTTATATTCCAACCAGGTTGTTCTCCAGGTGCTCTAGTTATAGAAAAACAATTTTAAACCTGCAAATACTCATGAATACTGTACACATGACTCCTTCCTGATGAATCCACTGTTACTGCACTGTTCAGTTTAGTAGCTGCTAGTCACATGTTGCAATTTAAATTAATTACAGTTAAATAAAATGTAAAATTCAGTTCCTTTGTCACTCTAGCCACATTTCAAGTGCTCAATACCCACATATGGCTTGTGACTACTATATTGGGCAGTGCAGATATAGAACATCTTCATTATTGCAGAAAGTTCTACCAGCCACATTGTACTAGAATGTCCATCCAGTCATAAGAATACTGAAAAAGGCTTAATGCAAAAATAATTCCTAAAACAACAACAAAACATCCTGTATTAGTTTGTTTCCATGCTGCTGATAAAGACATACCCAAGACTAGGAAGAAAAACAGGTTTACTGGACTTACAGTTCCACATGGCTGGGGAATCATGACCTTACAGTCAGGGCAGAAAGCAAGGTGGAGCAAGTCACTTCTTACATGGATGGTGGCAGGTAAAGAGAGAGCTTGTGCAGGGAAACTCCCATTTTCTAAAACCATCAGCTCTTGTGAGACTTATTCACTATCATGGGAACAGCATGGGAAAGACTCACCCCCATAATTCAATCACCTCCCACCGGGTTCCTCCCATGATACATGGGAATTGTGTGAGTTATAATTCAGGATGAGATTTGGGTGGGGACACAGCAAACTGTATCGCACCCCTTTCCTAAATATCAAAAGAATTTATCTTAAAGAGTGAAAAAGGGCCAGGCACAGTATCTCATGCCTGTAATCTCAGTACTTTGGGAGGCCAAAGCAGGTGGATTGAGTGAGCCCAGGCATTCAAGACTAGCCTGGACATCATAGTGAGACCCTGTCTCTTTAAAAAAAGAAAAGAAAAGAAAGAAAAAAGAAAAAAAGTGAAAAAAAGACACATTGCTTAGGGAAAGATGGTAAATATAAAATAAAACGTGATAATTATAATAAAACAACATGATAGAGTTGTTTAACTTAACTATAAAAAAAAGAGATACATTTCATCAAGCCTGGGCAACATAGTGAGCCCTTGTCTCTACAGAAAATTAGTCAGGCATGGTGGCACATGCCTGTAGTCCCAGCTACTCAGGAGGCTGAGGTGAGAGGATTGCTTGAGCCTAGGAGGTCATGGCTGCAGTAAGCCAAAATTTCACCACTGCATTCCTGCCTGGGTGACAGAGTGAGACCCTGTCTCAAAAAAAAAAAAAAAAAAAAAAAAGATTTTCAAATTGGCTCACAAAGCAAAAGCAAGACCCAAGTTTATGCTATATGCAAAAGATACACCTAAAACAAAGTGATTCAGAAAAGTTTGACATCATATAAAGTAGAATTCCCTTCAAAAAGCATTATTAATGCCTCTTATTAATGTCTCTGTGACAAATAATATAGCCACCACTTTTATATGGCAGAAATTGTGGGGGGGGTACAAGAAGAAATAAAAACATATAAATAATAGAAGATTTTATGTCACACTTGGTACAAGAGAAGTCAAGTGACCAAAAAAACCAAAAACCAAAAACAATATTAAAAGACCTAAGCAACACAACTAATAAGTCAGATCTTAAAGATTTATGCTGAACATTACATCCTGATAATAGAGACTACACCCCCTTCTCGAGTGCACATAGAATGTTCATAAAAACAAAGAAAACATGATGGATATAGTAATTACCCTAATCTGATCACTATACATTGTATGTATCAAAACATCACTATGTACTCCATGAATATGTACAATTATTTGTCAATTAAAAAATAAAATTTTAAAAATTCCAAAAAAACCCCAAAGAAAATAGTAATGTCCATGAAGTAGAAATATTAAAACAACATTCTGTGATCACAGTGCATCTACACTAGAAATCAACAACTAAATCAAACTAGAAAAAGGCTTCTATTTGAAATTATAGACTCTTCTATTAATTGTTGGTTAAAAGGGAAAATGGAAACTGAATGATGGAATTTCTGAAATATATTTGCAATGAAAACTCTGCATATCAGAATCTATGGGGATTTATTTCAAACAGCCAT